CAACAGCCGCTACGTGTCCTTCCGCTGCGGGGGTCGGGCTTGTCGTCGCCTCGCCATGGCCGAGTCCGAGGCGAGCGGCGTGGAGACGCTGCGGCGCCGCGTGCGGGAGCTGGAGGAGGAGCTGCGCGCGCTGCGGGCGGGGGCCGGGCCGGGCCCGCGGGCGCGGATCGAGCGCATGAGCCCGGAAGTCACCGACTCCAACCCCTACAGGTGCGCGGGGGGCGGGGGCTCTCCCCGGGGCAGGGGACGAGAAGCCCTACTCTGGGGTGGCCCCTGCACGTTAAGCTTATGGTGCGGTCTCCCCCCTCCCTCCCCCGCGCGTGTTATGCTTATGGCGCAGACCCCCTCCGTGCACGTTACACTTCTGGCGCAGTCCCTCCTCCTCCTCCTCTTCCTCCCTCCCCCTTTCACATTTCACTTACAGCGCAGTCCCCCAGTGCATGTTAAGCTCATGGTGTGGCTTCTCCTCTCCCCCCCATGTTATATTGATGGCGCAGAACCCAGTGTGCATTACACTTATGGCGCAGTTCCCGGAGGATCATGCCATATAAGGGCACAGGTGCAACCCTGGCAGCTAGTCGAAAGGGCCCATAAATGGGAGACCTGCCCTACAAACGCTCCATGCATCAGGCAGAGCAGCCATGTCAACCATCGGCGGACCCAGCAGCAGGCTGATGGTCAGCACCAGTCACTGGGGTCTCCAGCTGGCCCTGAGGCTGGGGCCTGCAGTCAGCTGACTGTCATCCCAGGCCTGCAGGCACCTGGTTTACAGCTGGGGGGGCAGGGGAGACCTGGGTTGTTACCCCTGACTGTCACAGTGCTGGCAAATCAAAAGGGTGCAACAAGGAGCTGATCTCCACGCCCAAAAGTGCTCTTCCTACCATGCACATGTGTGGCATGGCAGGCAGCACAATTGTGGGGATTGGGGGTCAGATCTTATGGTGCTTTTACGTGAACTTTAATTCAGAGTGGGTGCAGAGGCAGGCAACAAAAATGGTCAAGGGCTTGGGAGGTGAAGCCAAGGCGGAGAGACTGAAGGGAAATAGTCACTCTCAGCTTACAGAAAAGGCCGTTAAGAAGGGATGTACCAGCAAATACTTCAAGGGCTGCAGTAACGAGGGAAAGCACCTTTCCTTTCGGAGAGGAGGACGTGGGCCAGTGGCTTGAAGTTGTAGCCAAGGCAGGTTAGATTGGCTTGTCGGGATAACCTCCTTACTTAGAGCAGTGAGGAAGTGGCACAGGCTGCCTCAGGTGACTGTGGACTCTCCATCACTGGAGCTGTTCAAAAAGAGGTTGCAGAGGATTGGTCAGGGATGATCTAGAAGTAACTGTGCCTCTGCTTTACTATATAGGTATTTCCCATGCTTCTGGGCTTTGCTGATTGCCATGTGCAGAAGGATTTTTTTCCCCCTCTTGTTGCTATGCTTGTTGGGGACGGACGGACGTTGCCTTCTTCAGAAGCATTGGGTGTTGGACACAGCCAAGCCTGGGGATGGGCCTGTGCTGCTGCTGGGACTCAAACCCAGAAGTTCCTGGCTAGAGGGTCTTGCACTTCTGCTCAGGGTGAGATCATTTGGCACATTTAAGATCAGGAAGGAATGTTACTCAGTGGTCAGACTGGTACAGATTGTTGATACAGACTGTTTTGCCTTCCCCTTTAGTGGAGGGGCACAGCCCTCCTCGTTGGGTCTTTCAAGCATATTTCAACAACTCTTGTAGTAGCAGCACATTGGTCCCCACTGTCTTCCCGCTTAACCAGTGTCAGGTTAGAGTGCTCTGTTTTGTGGTTGTGTGGCAGAGTCACCTGTGTAGTTTTAGGTAGTAAGCTAGATCTAAGAATTTGGTTGGGATGCTTTATATAAGGATGGTCCTGTCTCAGGCAGGCGGTTGGACTAGATGACCTCTTGAGAGCCCTTCCAGCCTTACTTGCCTATCATTCAGTGAACATTTGTCAAGGGTCTAACAAATTGTCCTATTGATTTCAATGAGATTATTCAGGCTAGAATATGTGCGTTGAAAGCCAAAACAAATCAAACATTTTGAATTGTTCTTGCTAGTAGTTACTTGTTACAAAATGGACAAATGAAACTTGGATTTTGCCTCAGCAACTGTATTGTATTTGAAACAAAAAAAAGAAGATTATTGTTTCTGTAGAGAAATATATGTTTAATGCTGACATTGTTTTTCAAAACCAGCTGCTCGTTGTATTGGCTTTTGAATGTTTATAATATTTCATTTAAACTTGCAAAACAGTTAGTCTATATGGTATTCGTCTTGTTTCCACTGTCTAATTTGTCAATAAAAATAAAAGATAAACCATTAAACTGTAATTTTAAAGAACTTTTAAAAAATCTGAATGCTTCTGTATACTCAGTGTTTTTCTCATAGGTAAATTAGAGAATAGCATGAATCTTATATTCGGAAACAAAATTATAAGTGATTATTAAGACGGCTCTTTCCTTAACAATGTTTGTGTTTTGTTTTTTACCTAGTCGCCTGATGGCATTAAAACGAATGGGAATTGTGAAAGATTATGAGGTATGCTTATATTTAAATTTCAGAAAACTCTTTTCTGCCCGAGAAATACATTGCTTAAGCTGATCTATATTTATTTTTCTTATCACAGAAAATCCGTACCTTTACAGTAGCAGTAGTAGGTGTTGGTGGAGTTGGCAGTGTCACTGCCGAAATGCTGACAAGATGTGGCATTGGTAAGGTAATATACATTTTCTTGTTCCACTAAAAGTAGATCAGTGTGACAGGGATTAGGAGGATGGATTTCTTGTTTGAATCTGTCCAGTTGCAAAGTTCAGTAAAAGTAAACAAAAGAATAACATACACAAGTTATAAATGATGTGTCTTCTGAGTTTATGTATTCTCTGTTCTAGTGGAATAGCCTTACCTGAGGCCCAATCCTGTATGGTACAGACTCCTCTTAACTGGGTGCTCAATCCCTTGTAGAATCAGGTTCTCTTTGAATGGATCATAGTATAACCATAAGTGGTTCTCAACCTTTTTAGATTCAAGGCACTTACCCATAACTTTTCTGAATCTAGTGGCATCACATTTAAAGACTAATTTAATTTATTACAGGGTATACCTCCTAACACAGGGGCCAGGCCAGGGGAGAGGAGCCAGCACTTACCTTCTTGCACAGGGGCCAGGTAGAGGCAGGGGCAACTGAATTACTTACCTCCTCGCACCCCACAGCACCCTTGAAAGAATCTCATGCCCTGGTTAAGAATCACTGTTATAGAAGATATTGAAATAAAACAGCCAATAATGAGGTGAATAATAAAGAAGATTGCATGCTTCTGGTTTGTGTCACACACTTGTGTTACGTAAATGTGAGTTTGTTCAAGAGGATGTTCAATTAAATTGATAAGCAGCAGTTTAAAAATTGGTTAGGTGAGAAATATGTGCTCAGCACATAATTGTGAAATGCGTTTATTGCAATAATCTATTAGGCCTGTGCGAATAGGGAAGTATTCAATTTGGATTTGGCTGATTTGGAGGACAGTGTTTCAATTCGGCAGCCATGGGGACTTCTTCTGCAGCTCCTCTGGCTGTGCCTGCCTCAGCCTCTGCAGTTCCCCCCGCTGGGGCAATACCCTGCTGCTGCTTGCCCAGCCAACACGGGTGGGTTCGTGTGATGCAGGCGTGGCACCCCCCTGCCCAGGCTGTAACACGCCCCCTTGCCCAGGCTGGGCGGCTTGTCCCAGCCTCAATCCCTCCCAACTCCAACAGACTTACCAGCTGGAGGCAGCTGTCAGCTGCCTGTTTAGTCTGTGGCCGAATCTCCAAATCGGCTGAATCTTTTCCGAATCGATTTGGATGCTTCGAATCAATTTAGAGCTTTTACTTGGTCTCCTGATTGATTCGGAGATTTGGTCCCCAAATCAGGCTGAATTTCCTCCAAATCAAATCAGCTACTGAAGCTTCGTGCAGGCCTATAATCTATATGTTAAAATTGAAATGGAAAGAGATACAATCAGAAAATACTTTGAAATAATTAAAAGGATTTATAAAGAGCAGAGTTGATCTAGGTTGCGCGTATAGATGATCTGCTGAACATCTCTTGATTGTGAATAAAATAGCCAAAACCATATTCTGTTAACCACCATGATGAGGTATAAACATGAGATTTGTCTTAATTCCTAGTGGGCAGCCTACTGTATGTGGACCAGTAAGTCTCTGCATATGAGTTAGCTTGGTGAAATGGGCGACAACTTGGGTGTTTTCAAAATTGCAGCCTTTTGCACTTTGCCTTTGAAAATGGATCAACATGAGGTTTTTTAATACAAACCTATTGAAAATTAATGTGTATTCTTATAATCTTCCTTTTAGCTGCTACTGTTCGATTACGACAAGGTAGAGTTGGCAAATATGAACAGACTCTTCTTTCAGCCCCATCAAGCTGGACTAAGCAAAGTACAGGCAGCAGAGTATACTTTGAAGTATGTATCTGTGGAATTGGATATTAAATTGGGTTACAAATTCATACCTTCATATAATTCACAAAGAAATATTTTTTTTATTGAAATGAAAGCCTGCCCAACATTAGAAATTCTAGTTGTTATAAAATTTTAGCTAGAGTGGGGATTTTTTCAGTAACATTTATGGGCAAAAATCTTAAGGCTTACAGTTATACTTGCAAAAACCACTTATTCCATTAGAGGTCACTTTATTCTAAAACAGATAAACATCTTTAACATTAGATGGGACCATGATAAGATGGTTTGCTAAAAGCCTATGTGAGCAAACCTTTCCCAGGGAAGTCTAGGCTTAAGTGTGTGGGGGTTTTTTAAGACACCATCAGAACTTGAGAACTGGGTAGCTATAGTATTTCCTTCAGGGGACCGCTGCGTTCATGATTGCTGTTAATTCATTTTCTTTTCTCTCTAAGGAATATTAATCCTGATGTGCAATTTGAAGTACATAACTACAATATTACAACAGTAGACAACTTTCAACATTTCATGGATAGAATAAGGTAAAATGTTTTGAGAGAACACACAAGATTACTTTTGGTGTTTCATAAATAATGTCTTACGTTTTCTATTGATTCTATTATATTTTCAATAAGTTTGTTTTCCTTTGGGAAAATAATCACATTTTAGATTAAATGTATGAATGTATGTTTTTGTTTTCTTAGTCCTGCTATTCAGTTAGATCTTGGTAAACATCATTTATTTTATACCCTAAAGTAGTTGCAAGTTAGATTATTTTGTCCTTGACCTCCAAACCACATTGAAATTCCGACGTGTTGCAAGTCATATATAGAAAAAAAAATCATATTGTACAATGCCAGCTTTTTGCAGCCTGATTTTTCCACTGAAAAGTCCTATTTTGTCACTAATGTAATTTGTAAATTTAGTTCTTATATAACTTTTGATTGACCGCGGAAAGACTGTTGGGTGAAATAAAAATGCGTACCTCTCTTCAAAATTATAAGAGGTGCAAATTAGACAAAGTATAGCCTCCTTTAATCTAAAATGTGCTCTGATTTTAAGTCTTAGTTCTGTAACCACATTTCTAGGAACTGCTTTATTTCATACTTTCTGAATATCTCCAAAGAGTTTTGGACAAACGGGGTTTTTCGGTAGTTAAGACGATTTTTGCGAGTGCTAAACAGGGTGCAGATTTTGTAAGGTATGATGTTGTTTCCAGTCGGTTTCTGTACTCAAATGATGTTTTCATAGCTTGATACTGCATTCCGCAAGCCATTTGTATGTGAAATTTGCTCTTTATTTCAGTAACGGTGGGCTGGAAGAAGGGAAACCCATTGATCTTGTACTGAGCTGTGTGGATAACTTTGAAGCTCGCATGGCAATTAACACAGTAAGTAGAACACCTGTGTGTGTGTCTGTAATATTCATGTGAGTTTCCTACCATATTCTTCTATAAATTACAAAAGTAGTTATGTCAGGGAAAAGACATAAGCCCTTATTAAAGAATCTGTTGGTAAATATGAAATTAAATGTAAGGAGTAGATCAGTTGTTTATTCATTTCTTGGACTTTCTGTATAAAGAATAATTTGTAAAACACATTACAAGTGACAGTGGGTGGTGGTTTCTATTCCTTGTTTCTTTTCCTCTGTCCCTTTTATGTTCTGGCTTTATAATGCAAATGAATTAGTTAGAAAATGAGGGTTGGAAGGGATCTCAGGAGGTCATCTAGGCCAATAGTCCAACCCCCTGCTCTAAGCAGAACCATCCTCAACTATATCATAGCATCCAAGGCTTTGTCTAGCTGTGTCTTAAAAACCTTGAAGTGATTCTAATCGCTTGCAATTAACTTCCTCACTGTTAATTTGTGTATATCTTATTTTTCATAGGCCTGCAATGAACTTGGACAAATATGGATGGAATCTGGAGTGAGTGAAAATGCAGTCTCTGGGCATATTCAACTCCTCATCCCTGGTGAAACTGCTTGTTTTGCGGTATGCAGTGCTGCTATGGGATCCTTTTCTGAGAATGGAATTTCTAGTCCCTGCTCCCTCTTAAAATAGGACTGATGAAATGAAGATTGTGGCTTTTGGATGCTGCATAAGCCACAGACTGGGTAGTAAAGCGACTCTGTTTATTGCCTTTGTGTGGTGTGTAGTTCTTGTTTGTTTGTTTTTAATGGAATTTGTTTCTTTTCCTCTTCAGTGTGCACCACCACTTGTCGTTGCTGCAAATATCGATGAGAAAACGTTAAAACGAGAAGGCGTCTGTGCTGCCAGTCTTCCCACCACAATGGGAGTTGTTGCTGGGATTCTTGTACAAAATGTTCTGAAGTAAGTGACTGAATGAATTTCTGTGACTAACTTATACCCAGGTATATGAAGAAGGCAGTCTGAGTCACTGAGCTCTTTGTTTTGGAGCTACTATTTTCAATGGACTGTATAGAATATTCTCTTCTGTCTGCAAAGGAAATGTAAAAACCTAAAGAACATCGTGGCAAAGTTGTTCAAGTCAAGATGAAGAACAAAAATCAAACAAAAGTACTTGAATCAAATATTTTTACTATATAGTTTTGGGGTGTTGTTTTTTTTTAACCAATTGGCATTGTATAACTCTAGCTGTCAAAAGAATTGCAGATATCTTTATGTAAAATCTTGAACTATTTTGTGTACATGATTTTGGTATTTCTGTCTTCTGAAGTTTATCCCTCCCTCCATCCTCCAGTCATTCACATGATGACTGAAAGGTTGAATGCTTTGCTGCTGTAATAGGCCAAGATCATTCACACCCTAAGGGCTTTTGTAGATCCTGCTAACCCAGCAGAGTTCCCTAGTGCAACTATCCCATCCCCTCTAATTCAAGAACTCCTACCAAACTCACCACCTTTACCCATGGCAAGATCCTACATTCTCCTGTTAAGGCATTTTTATTCTCATGTCAAGGCTCTTGGTATGCACTCATTCTCCACATCATTATCTTTTCTCCCTTTTTGTCTGGAATGCAAGTCAGATAGCACATGACGAAGGACAAGTTGGTGCTGTGTAGGGA